CCACTTCTCAAGAAATATAAATGTGCTATAGATTGGGGTAAAGATGAGTTGAAAATTCCTTTTAATGGAAAGGATCACATTATTCCAGTTACTATGCACAAGGTAAAAAATAATCTTGAAGTAAATTGCACTACTACATCTCAGAATGATAGGGACGAAGTCCTATTGCTTTGCAATAAGCCTTTGATATCTGATCAAATTTCTTAAGAAGTGAATAGTAATAAGAGCGATAATGATCTATTGGAGGAATGGCATGCTCCTGCGGGTTTTAGCCTAGATTCAACTTTAAAAAAAACGCATGAGCTATGAGGAGTTAGAAAAATTACTATATGAGGTACTCAAATCTAATACCGAATTAATCGAGCTTAATAAAAAACTACAGACCTATAGAAATGAGTCTGATATTAAAATGGTATGTAGATTATTGCCCAGCAATAGCCCTTTGGGTCTACAAACTACTCTAGAAAAAACAAAAGTGGATTAGTTAGAATCTAAAACTCTTTTTGTCTCACGTTTAGCTTCTTCTCTTTCTTTGCGATTTTGTGCAAGCCTAGCTTGTAAATCATCCATTTCAACTACTTTTTTTATCAGAATATTTATTGAATCAGATACCTGAACAGATCTAGAACTGGATCCTGGGTTTTTTTTCTTTGACTTTCTATCTGAAGTATTATTTTCAAACATTATTTCAAAAGAAACAACACTATGTATTAGTTGCTATTTGCGCAAGAGTATGCCTTCAGCATGTCTTTTCCAAATTTCATATATTCTATAAGTTGAAGTACTATATCTATTAGCCATTTCCCTGTATATATTTTTAACTGTCCCTCGAGATTGAATGATTTCCTCAATAGCTTCTGGTGATAAATAAGGAGTACCAGCACGATAATACTCTACAGTTATGTGTTCCATCCTTTTTATAATTATAAAAAATTATCGAAAATTATTGAAAATACTAAAATACTCCTATTTCTCTTATGTTAAAAAATGATCGGTAATTGTAGGTAATTACATACTTAATATTTAATAATTTTCTAAAAAAATCGGTAATTATCTATTATTGTTGAATTATATTGGAGCGTAATTTCTTTGATAGCATTATCGATAAGTATATATGTGTTTCATATTTTGCTATTTTTTATAATATTTCTCTTTATTTAATATGGCCAATGTAATAGACCTTAAAAAAGAATTATATAATGCCCTCCAAGATTCTTCTGAGATAGTTTCATACAATGCTAAATTGCGGGATAAGTATGAAAAACAAGAAAAAAAAATCAATCGGGAGAGAGGACGATGGGATCGGGATAGAAAGAAGTGGAGTAAAAAACTAGGAGGGGTTAATACCGAAATCCAGAAATTACGTACTCATGATCTCGAACTCATTGATGAAGCTAGGCGTTTACAGATTGAAAATGCTAATAAAGACATTTCTCTTGCGAAGTCCAAAGCTGAGAATGATATAAAATCCAAGAAAATTAGATCGCTTGAGTTTATGATTAAGATATTGGAAGGTAAGTTGTCTTCAGCCCAGAAAGATGTGATTTTGATTCAAAATGACTCATCGAAAAAAGAAACTGAGATCACGTCTCTCAAATCCAAAATAGCTGAATTAGAACAAGAATTAGCTTCAGCGGTTAGTGAACTCGAGTGTTTGAAATCGAAGGCTATATCAAACCCCGTACTTGGTGGAAACGATGAAAAAAATATGACCAAGTCTAATGATATATCTGCAGTTATTAAGGAATCAGAGATTCGAGACTATGCCTCATCTAGTAAAAGTCTCAGACAATATTTTATATGTGGAAAAAGTATGGATCAAGCTAAAAAAATTGATACTATGTGTCTTGAGTCAGAAACTCATGGCTTTACCGCTGACACTAGCTCCATTATTATACCGAATAACACTGAAACTCCTATACCCGAGGAATCGGTAATTCGAGGTTATACTTCATCTCCGAGAGTAGATACTGAGATTATTCTCAAGGTAAGTGACAAAATCGATATTAGTAAAACTAACAACAATATACTCCAAGAAATACCGAATATGACTCCATACCTTGTACAGCGAGAAAATAATAGCGGAGCTAGTGCTAAAGCACATATGTCCTCGTTGATTGAATCGAATCCCCAGATTCCAAGAGGAGTAGTCCCTGTTGTAGCAAGTACTTTAATGTCACCTCTATCAGCATATATTTTTCTTACCTTGTTAATTATTGCAGTTGTGTAGTTTGTAAGACGCACATGGAATATAGGTAGGCTCGAAGTGCCATTGTTCCACAAGCCGAAGGAGCGACTCTAAAGGGTCATAAAAAAAGTGATCAATTGCGGGATATGTGAATTGGGTAACCAAGACTATCTATTTGAACTTGGATATTATTTATGTATGAAAAATAATCTTATTGTATAGTATCACTAATATTGGACCATTAGTGAAATACTTATTACAAGCTTTTAATATATTTTTTCAAGCTATTTTTTCGGTCGACTCACAGAGTGAGGATGCTTACGCATCTAGCATACATATAGCATGTCCTGATTGCATTAATTTTTCTATTAAATATTCTATGTGGTATATATTGTTAAAGAATTTAGCATAAATATGATTGATCTATTTGGTGGCGAAGAAGTATACAACAAGGAATATGAATTGAAGACTGTCATGTTAACAGGAATTCTCCTATGTGTAAACCATATAAAAAGTGTGATAAGTTAACTTTTTCTATATCGGCAATATGTACAAGATATGGTGGTAAGTATCGAAATATAAAACATTATTACCGGAAAAAGCTAGAGAAAATGGCAGAAAAATCAGAAGTGCTTAAAGAAAACTTACAATAACATGATCCGATAACATGTATATAGCATAATGACATATGACTAAATGCATTACCGGATATATTTTTTTTGCTAATCTTTTAAAAGTATATTATATAAAATGAGTTCTCAATTATTGGAAAAAAGAGCGCGAGAGTATAGACGAGATCGCTTTCCTAGAATATAAACGAAAATTTGAGGCTAAATTAGGTATTCCTACTATTCCGCACAAAAAAGAATTAAAAAGGCGATTTGTGGTTCTCATTGAGTATGCATAATTGCTGTTATAAAGATAATACAATCTAGTTAAGTAATAATTTCTGGAGACGAGAGATTGCTACATTCGACTAGATATATATTTCAGGTAAGGAGTTTTTGTCACCTCTTACAATAAGCATTTAGAAAAATTTAAATCAAAAATTAATACTTCGATAGCTAGATCATATATGAGAGTTTTTGTGTCAGGAAATTTCCATCAAGGTACGCTTCCAGGTAAAAGATCGTGTTACAAAATAAAATGCATATATAAGGTATGTAATAGATGACCATTTTTGTGTCACGTAATTTTGATCAAGGTAAAATTATGCTTTGGACGTTTATTAGATATATACAAAATAAAATTACGCTTTAGACGTCTACCAAATATATACAAAATAAAGTTATACTTTGGATGTCTACCAGATATATATAAATAAAATTATGCTTTGGACGTTTATCAGTATAAAGATATTAACTACACGAGAAAAGATTCTAGAGATTTAAAACATAGCGTATTTTCGATAGCCGGCCAAAGTAAAATTATTACAGATATATATTATAAAAAATTATGCTTTGGATGTCTATCAAGTGGGTAACAATTCAGCACTATGTGCCTCATTTTTGATCGATATTCGAAAGTATTAACTATGCAAGAAAGATTTCCAGGATCACAAAATATAGTATACTGGCGGTAGTCACCCAAAGTAAAATTATTACAGATATATATATTATACAAATTATGCTTTGGGTGTCTACCAAAATGATAACAATTCTGTACTATGTGGTAGTATCCAAAAGTATCAACTATGCGAGAAAGGTTTCTAGGATCGTAAAACATAGTATACTGCCGGTAGTCACCCAAAGTAAAATTATTATAGAAATATATATATTATAAAAATTATGCTTTGGGTGTCTACCAAATAACTGCTAACAATTGCTAACAATTCAGCACTACGTGCCTCATCATCAGGCGATAATCGAATGAATTATACGAAGCTAGCAACTGCTAACGAGCGGACTATAAACATCTCATCTTTGACGAGGCAAACGCAAAACGTACATCACTCGAATGATGAAGCAAAGTGAGCTAAATTAGCGAATACTAATATATCTCTGATGATGCAAGCATGAATCATTCGTCACTCGAATGATGGAGCGAATACTAATATATCTCTGACGACGCAAGCATGAATCGTTCGTCACTCGAATGATAGAGCGAATACTAATATATCTCTGACGACACAAGCACGAATCGTTCGTCACTCAAATGATGACAGGCATATGATCCCGTCATCAGACATAACCTAGATTAAGTGGAAATAATATAATTATGTTATTTCTACTATACTTCCGATTCTGACCTTGACGCAGATCCAGAACCTGAACCTGAAGCCTTAGCTCCCACACCCAAGGCAATTAATGAGAATACTTCTGAAATTGAGGATATCTATGACTTATAT